TGGTAAAGTAATGTCTCTGATTTTAAATGTGCTGTCTAGTTTTATCATAGCTTTTCTTGCAATGGGTAAGCATCTTTTAACTTAATGGATGCAGTCACCATCTGCAGTGATTTTGGAGTCCAAGAAAATAAATTCTGTCACTGTTTCCAATTTTTCCTCATCTATGTGCCATAAAGTGATGGGACTGGATGCCATGAGCTTAGTTTTTTGAATGTTGAATTTTAAGCCAGGTTTTCCCTCTCCTCTGTCACTTTCATCAAGAGGCTCTTAAGCTCTTCATCGCTTTCTGCCATAAGGATTGTGTATTCTGCATACCTGAGGTTATTGATATTTCTCCCATTTCTCCCAGCAATCCTGATTCCAACTTGTACTTCACCCAGCCTGGCATTGTCACTTGATGTACTCTGCATATAAGTTAAATAAACAACGTGACAATATACAACTTTGATGTACCCCATTCCCAATTTGGAACCAGCTCATTGTTCCATGTCTGGTTCTAACTGTTGCTTCTTGACCTGCATACAGGTTTCTCAGGAGGCAGTTAAGGTGGTCTTGTATTCCCATGTTTTTTTTTTGGGGGGGGGTGAGAGGTATCACATATTTTTTTGTTGTTGTTTTGTTTTGCTTTGTTTTGTCTTTCCATTTATTTTTATTAGTTGGAGGCTAATTACTTTACAATATTGTAGTGGTTTTTGCGGTGGGAGGGGGAATCGGGATGGGGAATACTTGTATTCCCATGTTTTAAAGAATTTTCCACAGTTTGCTGTGATCCACACAGTCAAAGGCTTTGGCGTAGTCAATAAAGCAGAAGTAGATGTTTTTCTGGAACTCTCTTACTTTTTCGATGATCCAGCAGATGTTGGCAATTTGATCTCTGGTTCCTCTGCCTTTTCTAAATACAGCTTGAACGTCTGGAAGTTCTCAGTTCACATACTGTTGAAGCCTAGCTTGGAGAATTTTGAGCATTACTTAGCTAGCCTGTGAAACAAGTGCAATTGTGTGGTCGTTTGAGCATTCTTTGGCAATGCCTTTCTTTGGGACTGGAATGAAAATTGACCTTTTCCAGTCCTGTGGTCACTGCTGAATTTCCAAATATGCTGCTACACTGAGTGCATCACTTTAACAGCATCATCTTTTAGGATTTGAGATACCTCAGCTGGAATTCCAGGGCTTCCCTGATAGCTCAGTTGGCAAAGAATCCACCTGGAATGCAGGTGACCCCGGTTTGATTCCTGGGTTGGGAAGAGCCACTGGAGAAGGGCTAGGCTACCCACTCTAGGAATCCACCTGCAATGCAGGAGCCTGGGTTCAGTCCCTGGGTTGGGATGATCCCCTGGAGAAGGGAAAGGCTACCCCCTCCAGTATTCTGGCCTGGAGAATTCCATGGACTATATAGTTGGACAAGACTGAGCAACTTTCACTTTCACACTGGAATTCCATCACCTCTACTACTTTTGCAGTGGTGCTTCCTCAGGCCCAGTTGACTTCACCTTCCAGGAAGTCTGGCTCTAGGTGACTGATCACACCATCATGGTCATCTAGGTCATGAAGATATTTCTTGTATAGTTCTTCTGTGCGTTTTTGCCACATCTTCTTAATATCTTCTGCTTCTGTTAGCTCCATACCATTTCTGTGGTATTTTATTGTACCCATCTTTTCATGAAATGTTCCCTTGGTATCTCTAATTTTCTTGAAAATATCTGTAATCCTTCCCATTCTACCGTTTTCCTCTATCTTTTTTGCACTCATAACTCAGGAAGGCTTTCTGACCTCTCCTCGCTCTTCTTTGGAATTCTGCATTCAGATTGGTAGATGTTTCCTTTTCTCCTTTGCCTTTCACTTCTCTTTTCTCAGTTATTTGTTTGGCCTCCTAAGACAACCATTTTGTCTTTTTGCATTTCTTCTTCTTAGGAATGATTTTGATCACTGCCTCTTGTAAAATGTTATGAGCCTCTATCCATAGTTCTTCAGGCACTCTATCTATCAGATCTAATCCCTCGAATCTATTCATCACCTCCACTGTATAATCGTAAGGGATTTGATGTGGGTCATACCTGAATGGACTAGTGGTTTTCTCTACTTTCTTCAATTTAAGCCTGAATTTTGCATTAAGATGCTCATGATCTGAGCCACAGTCAGCTCCTGGTCTTGTTTTTGCTGACTGTACAGAGCTTCTCCATCTTTGGCTGCAAAGAATATAATCAATCTGATTTCAGTATTGACCATCTGGTGATGTCCATGTGTAGTCTTCTCCTGTGTTGTTGGAAGAGGGTGTTTTCTATGACCAGTGCCTTCTCTTGGCAAAACTCTGTTAGCCTTTGTTCTGCCTAATTTTGTACTCCAAGACCAAGATTTCCTGTTACTCCAGGTATCTCTTGACTTCCTACTTTCGCATTCCAGTCCCCTATGATGAAAAGGACATCTTTTTTTTTTTGGTGTTAGTTCTAGAAAGTCTTGTGGGTCTTCTTGGAACCATTCAGCTTCTGCTTCTTCATCATTAGTGGCTGGGGCATAAACTTGGATTACTGTGATATTGAATGGTTTGCCTTGGATACGAACAGAGATTATTCTGTCGTTTTTGAGATTGCATCAAAGTACTGCATCTCAGAATCTTTTTTTTTTTGACTATGAGGGCTGCTCCATTTCTTCTAAGGGGTTCTTGCCCACAGTAGATATAATGGTCATCTGGATTAAATTCACCCATATCAGTCCATTTTAGTTCACTGATTTCTAAAATGTTGGTGTTTACTCTTGGCATCTCCTGCTTGACCACTTCCAAGTTACCTTGATTCATGGACCTAACATTCTAGGTTCCTATGCAACACTGTTCTTTACAGCGTCAGACTTTACTTCCATCACCAGTCTCATCCACAGCTGGGACTTGTTTTCACTTTGACTCCATCTCTTGTTTCTTTCTGGATCCTTTTCTCCACTCTTCTCTAGTAGCATATTGGGCACCTACTGACGTGGGGAGTTCGTCTTTCAGCATCATATCTTTATGCATTTTCATACCGTTCATGGGGTTCTCAAGGCAAAATACTGAAGTGGTTCACCATTCCCTTCTCCAGTGGACCACGTTTTGTCAGAAATCTCCACCATTGCCTGTCAGTCTTGGGTGGCCCTACACAGCAAGGCTCACAGCTTCACTGGGTTAGAGAAGGCTGTGATCCAAGTGATCAGTTGGTTAGTTTTCTGTAACTGTGGTTTCCATTCTGTCTGCCCTCTCATTGGATCGGATCAATGCTGAGTTGCACAAATTCAGATGACTGCAATGTATATTCATCTTCACTCAAAAGAAAAGTGATGACTTGAAAGGACATTAAAAACTAATGAAATGCAAAAGTTTCTCCTTCTTAAAATGTACTTCATGTTTAAAAAAATGCAACTTTGATATAAATGCTATATATATGAAGCATATATAATAATTTGAATTAAATATAATTATTTAAATCACTAACAATTTCTTATTATCAGAATATGAACAAAATATAATTTCATATTTAGTCAAAAAGTACATATAACCTTATATGTATATTTGCATATATATGTTTGCATATAGATAAGCCTGTCAAACAGAGAAAAGTACACAAGTTATTAATTTTAGTTGTTAGCAAGTGTTTGGGCAAGATTAACATGAGCAGTAGTGGGTGATATCAGGAAAGGAAAGCAAGAAAAGAGAAAAGATTAAAAATTCGGCAAGTGAGATATGGCCCTTTCATACATATATAAAATTACACGTGTTTTTACACATTAAAGTTTCATTTAGTAATTATTAGATATGCTTCATATATATAGCACTTATATCAAATTTACATTTTTTTAACTTGAAGTACATTTTAAGAAGGAGGACCTTTTGCATTTCATTAGATTTTAATGTCCTTTTAAGTCATCATTTTTCTTTGGAGTGAAGATTGGGCAAGATTAACATGAGTAGCAGTGTGAGATATCAAGAAAGGAAGGCATGGAAAAAAAAAGATTAAAAATTCAGCAAGTGAGATATGGTTCTTTCACACATTTATAAAATTACGTGTGCTTTTACACATTAAAACTTCATTTAGTGTATTTTAGGAAAGACTCTAAAACATTGCAAAAAAAATAAATAAAAGAAAGAAAGAATGTATTCCTGCACTGGATTCCATACTGACCTGCTCCCATTACCTTTTTCATCCTATTCTGGATGTGAAGCTTTTGGGGAGAAGGGAAGTGTTGACTAGCATCAGGAAAACATCCCAGGCTCAGTCCCACTCCACCCCACTTCAGAAGGACATGCACAGATATTACTACCAAATAATATAGTCCTGTGACCTCCCAATGTGAGACGCTAAAGCTGAGAGCCAAACTTGGATGGATGGATGAAAACCACAACCACATAGAAACCACAACCACAACCACAAGGAAATTGGGGTTACTTTACAGAACATACTGCATTATGATATTATAGCAATTGTGTTTAAATATTTCTAATTGTTCTTAAACGTTTTTGATAGCAGTTGATGTTACTGATAGCAGCTCTTTGGCGTTTAGTGACAGCTCAGCTGGGCTTTCTCTCTCTTCTCTCTTAGTTCCTTCTTAATTCCTTCTCCCTTAGTTCCACACTCTCTACTTGGTGAAATGGGCATATACATAATCACAAATAACCATTTTTCTAGCAAGAAACATTGCTTAGGATGCATAATTTTAGTGACATTTCGTGTAGCTCATTTGGCCAATAGGTATATTTTATAATAGTAGAAATTTATTATTATATTACATTGTGCGGTAAATGAACATATTTCATCATCTTAGTGATTTTATTATCTTATTTTATAATAAATCACTGTGCCTTCGCTTTAAGTTGTGAATGAAACATCATCAAGGTGCTTTGTCCTTCACAAGGGAAGTCCCGAGGACTGCACAGCGCAGTGTGGACAGAGGCAGGAACCAGCAAGTCTGCTGCCACGTGACTCAGCGGGAGCGCATGCGCTGAGCTCCCCGGGCCACAGGGCACGGGGACCACTTACTCTCATAGCGAATGAGGAATCCCACGCTGGACCGGCTGTTGTCGGTGCTGAACAGGAGGTACATGAAGTTGCCCGTGCTGATGAGGAACTGGGGCGCCTGCGTGCCGTGGTACTCCCCGATCAGCGGGGCCGAGCTGGCCGGCCCGTCTCTGACCTCCAGCGTGTCGTAGTTGACTTCGGTTTGGAATCTGCGGGCAAGTGTGTCCAGTGAGAGGAGAAATGCAGGGCTGCAATGACTTATAGGCATCCTGTGTCTTTACTCACGGAGTGAAAACCCACGTACAGCAAGAGAAGTAAATAGATCCAGATACACATGCCCTTTCAGACTGGGCACATGTGGTGTCTAAGGTTATTACTAACTTCTGTTCACCCCCACAGCCCTCCTGGTGACTGAATACTCTGTCCAGTAACATCACAGACACAAATGGGGTGGCGGGGGTCATTCAGCTTTAAAATACAAATACTGTGAGCCAGTAGATAGATGACAGAGAATCAACAGTCAGTGAAAGTCAATCAAGATGCATTTTCACACCGTTTTTCATGATCCCCAGTGTAACATGATTATAGATTTCTTAAAAGGAGCATACTGAAGTGACATGATCTCCTAAAGGAAAGAGGTAAATCAAACAACATGACACTACTTTAAATACCTTTCCTGAAATAAAGAATCCTGTGCCTTTTAAAGCTGCATTAACTCTCTTTTTTCTAATTAAAAAAAATTTTAATTATGAAAGTATGATAATATACTTGGAGACTTGGAAAATATACAGCAGCATTACATATGGAATAGTTCCACTATATATTATAATTATTTTATTAAGTCAATAAATTAAGATTTTTAGTTGGAGTTTCAATATCAAGCTCTCAAAAATAATAGAATGAATAGACAGAACATTAGAAGAATGTAGTAGACTCAGAAAGCACTAAAGGGGCACTGACTCCAGTATGACAGTGCAAGGACCCTGAACTTCAGAAAGCAAACGCTACTTCGGTGATTTGAGAAAGTTAGAACAGCTTCCAAGAAGTACTTAAGTTTCCTTCCCGGAAGGACTGATGCCTCCAGAGAACCTGGTCTGGTGTTATGCTCATACACAGTTGCAGCCACTTGGGTGCTCTCTGATACAGCAGAGTTGCCATTTCAGACACTGAGATAATTTGGTAAATGGGCCCGTCTCGTCCTCAAAGAGCTAATCGGCTTTCAAAGGTTCTGGCGTGGTCCCCAGGGAGCAGCTCACTGCCGGAGCCTCTGATGCACTCAGTGATCAGGGAATTTGGGGGAAGCCTGTGCCATGGTCCCCAGGGTGGGCATTGCATGCTGCTGGCAGGGAGGAGAAAGAAGGGACAGAGCGACCGTCTTAGGCTCCTAGCAAGATGAAACCAAAGAACCCTGCCCTGTTGATCATTAAATCACACACTTTTCTTTGTGTGTGTTTGTGTATGTGTATAGTTACTCAGTCCTGTCTGACTCTTTGTGACCTATGGACTGTAGCCCACCATGCACTTCTGTCCATGTGATTCTCCAGGCAAGAATACTGGACTGGGTTCCTCGCCCTCCTCCAGGGCATCTTCCCATCTCAGGGATGGAGCCCACGTCTCTGGTGTCTCCTGCATTGGCAGGCTGGTTCTTTACCACCAGTGCCATCTGGGAAGCCCCTTCTTTGTGTGAATGCACAATAATAATATATTCTTGCAACTAATTTAGAATGGTCCCTGACCCTCCATCTTCCACAAAGAGTAATTCAACCAATTGGTGTAGCGTGTGGCTAGGTCAGAATATGGTCAGAGGCCAGGCATTTGGGGGTGAGGAGAGAGCGCAGCTTTGCATCTTACTATTAAAAATATTCTCTAAAGCACATATGGCTTCACAGTTTATCTGAGTTCACATTCAAGAAGCCTAGATGAGCTTGGGATAAATCTCATGTGCAGTATCTGCCCTGAAGTTTTCACAACTTTCATCTTGAGAGACAGCCAGGACAGATAGAGGGCACACCTCAACAGCTGGAGGATCTCCAGGGCAACTTCAGAAAGAGAAATGTAAATGATTTCCATCATCTGGCAACCCAGCACACACTGCATAACAATACCCTCAGTGTGGAATTTAAAACTGTTTGTAAAAACACAACCTTTATTAGGATGCCAGCCCACAGCTCAAGTTATAAACCGAAGCACTATGCAAGTAATCTTTAGAAGACTGTGTACAATGTACAGGGTAAAAAAAAAAAAGTGTATAAAAATATCCAAAATGCTGGAATTTAGCAAATACCACAGTCCAGTAATATCAAAAAGACAAGATTGAGAAAAATTATGAGCATTTTTTTTCAGCAACTGAAAATGGAACACTAATATATTGTGCCAAACCAGAATGTGAAATCACCATTTTTACTAAATGAGTTAAATGTGATGTGCTGCTGGGAATCAGGGTGTGTGTCTGCTTTTTTCCCCTCTCAATACTAGAAAATATAAAAAATTATAATAAGAAACTAAATTCAACTTATTTAATATTTATAAAGTTTTTTTTTTCTCAGTGACTAAGATTATATGCCAGAATTCATTCTCCAACATAACGAATACATAGACCATTTTTTTTTTCTTTTCTTCTGAGAGATTATCCTACTGGAGTTGTAATTATCCCATCAGATATAATAATACCAATAATAACTTCAAATATAAACAGTTACTAAGTGATAATACAATTCCTGCTAAAAATCTTTCCTTTATGGATGCTATCATTGAGTATTAGGAAATTAGTGTAGGAAATAATGTCATAAGGTATATCTGTCTTGAGACATGATAATATTCTGAATACTAGAACCCTAAATTCAGTCTGCTTAAGAAGCTCGTTGCTGGAGAGAGCTCAGTTTGCTCAGATATTAACCTTGAAACACTAAACAAAGATGCTTCCTTGGATTTTAAAGCATTTGGGTCCATTCTACAGCATTTTTGGTTCTCAATTTTCAAATCAATGGTTGAGACAACCTAGACAATATTTTATCATGGAGAATTCAAATAGCATGCTGCTTCTTTTTTAGATTATCAAATGCATTATCCAACAGCCAAACTGAACAGCTCTCCAGTGATGGAACCACTCGTGGCTAATTAAAAGGTAAGAAATCTGTTGCACACAGTCTATCAACTCTGCAACCCAAACCACCTTTCAGTGTCCCAGAGCCATTCCCAAAGCCAGAGAGCTCTTCTTCTGTGCTCTGCAAACCCCTAAGGGATGAAGGGCTCCATTTGCAATAAAATACCAAGCGGAATTTATTGCACCCTCGGGTCCAAAATACAGAACTAGACTCAAGGGCCAGTGACTGTGAACACTGGGAATGCTGTCTGGGGCCACACCCTCAAGCACGTCTGCAGAGGTGCCTTACCTGTGGGCTTAGAGGACAAAACAGAGAAGAACAGAACTTAGCAAGCAAACACCTGTTCTAAGTGAACTCCTTTAGGGGAACCAAAGGTGAAAAACTGTCATCTTTTTAAAGACTTAAGATCCATTTAAATAAAAATGCTGGGCATGCATGGGTCATCAGGTCCAAATTAAGGAATCCAAAGTTTTTTCTTACCTATCAAAAGTGATTTTGATAGAGTGTCCTGGTTTTGCTTCAATTATCCATTCACAATTTAAGGAGTCTTTGTAATACCCTGGCCATCCTGGGGGCAAAATCACTCCACTTGAAGCTGTCAGATGTCCTCCACATGGGGCTGAAAAATGATGCAGGGGTCAGAAGGTCAAATGATGCACATGTACCATAGCAGCCTCAGAAACAGCAGGGTGCGTGTTGAGTGCGTGGACCTGACGGTTTCTAGTCTTCAAGCAGAGGTTGAAAGCTTGTTAGTGGCTCAGTCATGTCCGACTCTGTGATCCCACAGACTGTAGCCTGCCAGGCTCCTCTGTTAATGGGACTCTCCAGGCAAGAATACTAGGGTGGGTTGCCATTTCCTATTTCAGATGATCTTCCCAACCCAGGGATCAAACCCAGGTCTCCTGCATTAACAGTGGATTCTTTACCATCTGAGCCACCAGTTATTACCAAGTAAACGGAGAATACTGAAATCAGAGCAGGTACATTTCACACCTGGGCATTTATCATCAGCCTTCATCAAAATTCTTTTCACCTAACAATGGTAGTAATGGCACAGTCTGAGAGAGTGGTCCGTGCCAAACAATTTCCAGGAATTATCACATTCAATCATCACAACAGAGCCACGAGGCAGGGATACCACCGATACTCATATCTTACATGTATTCATGTCAGCAAATGTCTACTGATAGACTTAATTACCTCACATCTGTAATTAAAATATTGTGCAGTGTGTGTGTGTTTTAAGATATGTGTATGTGTTGATTCACTGCAAGGTATGTTCATTGTATTAAAGTAATTTGCCACATATAATTTACTAAATTCTTTTTCTTTCACATCTCTTTTATAGTACTTTGTTTATTCCCATTTTGCACCTTTCATTGGATCACTTTGGGAAATTTATATTTTGCCAGGAAATCTCCAGTTTTCTTTGACCTTCACAGTCATTTTTCCCTCAAGGTAACTTGTGTTTTTTAATGACACTGAATGCACAGAATAGAAGCTGGTTAGGTGTAAAACAAAGACAGAAAAATCTTTCTCTCAGCAACTGAGTTTCTCAGTATAAGTAAACTTTGACAATCTCTTTCACCATTAACTAGTCTGTGTTTAGGCTTCCCAGCTGGCACTAATGGTAAAGAATCCTCCTGCCAATGCAGGTGACCTGGGTTTGATCCCTGGGTTGGGAAGATCCTCTGGAGCAGAAAATGGCAATCCATTCTAGTATCCTTGCCTGGGAAATCCTAAGGACAGAGGAGCCTGGTGCACTACAGTCCATGGTGTCTCAGGGAGTCGGCCGTGACTAGGTAACTAAGCACATGCAGTCCTCTGTGTTTAGGGGCTTTGCTATCGTTGTTAACAACCTATACCTGGGGTTTGCCTTGCACTTCATCAGAAGGTCCCTTCCAAACAAGGACAGAATTGCTCACTCACGTTTCAAGTGATACTGTCTCCTTTTGTCTGACTGTGGGATTTCTCACCTGCTGCTTGACTGATGCCCCTTTATTCCCCCGACTGCAAAGGAACGTGCCGGCCCTGAAGCCTAGACCCATCCTCACATCAGCTACTGCAGGTGAGCACACCCACAGTGAGAATATGGCAGAGGGAACAGAGATTAGAGTATTGCTTGTCTTGAGATTCTCATAAAATTATTCACACTTCAAAGTTAGTAGCGATATACTTCCTCAAGCAGTAAGTATAAACACATTCAGTCCTGCCCCAGTATTCATATGGTATTCATACCATTTATTTTAGAATCCTGATTCCAAGTTTACTGATGTATACAGGATAATGACCTATTCAGTTATTAACACTAATAAAATTTAAACTATTAAAAAAAACCATACTTTAAAGAAGCAGTAAAAATAAACAAAAAGGAAACTCCTGCTCTGGGTTTCTTGCTCTTGCTCTTCAGCTGACCAAGTGTCCACCCTGGGGTGGTGCTGACAGTCCACCAAATTGTCTTAACAGTTTGTGAAACTGCAGAAATGAGAACATCGTTCTGTAAATTTAGGAGGGTCAGCCAGTGATGACTGAAGATAATGCTGGTCCTTGGAACAAGGAGAAAAGACTCTGGAGGAAGGGCTGGGGACAGGGCAAGGTGGTGAAGCACAACCCTGCTCCCAACACTGGTGGGTAAGCATGGGGCAGGGCGGGGGTGGATGGGTGGAGCGGGGGGATTTCAGGGCAGTTACAAGACCCTGGAGGTCACCTCAGTGATGTATACACTGTGATATACATTGGCCCAAGCCCAGCAGATGGACAATCAAGAGAGTGAGCCTTAACGTAAACTGTGGACTCTGGGTGATGATGACTTATCCCTGTAGGTCCATCAGTTATAACAAATGCATGCCTGATGGAGGGCCCTGCTGATGGGGGAGGCTGTGCATATACGAGGGCAGGGCAGCCCGCAGGACAGCTCTGTACCTTCCTTTCAATTGTTCAGTGAATCTAAAGCTGCTCTAAAATGTGTGCTCTTTAAAAGATCTGCATTTCCTTGGTATCTACGAGAGATACTTTTATTAAGTTTTTCTTAGCTCATTATGCACGGGTGATTCTGATAACAGGGGTTTGGGTATATATCATAAGTGAATATTCCCCTACCTGAATATAAATTAAAAGTAATATCCTTCCTAATTCTTTCCCCTTTGGTTTTCCAACACAGGCAACCAGAGTAAAATGTCAAGAAGAAAATTAGGCTGTATATATGTCAGTTACACCAAGGGCAACAAAACAGTTAACTAATAACGATGCTGTTTGCAGAGGATGAGTTACACCCCCCCATATGGTATTCTGGATTCCTAATCCCAGCATCTTAAAATGGGACCATATTTGGAAAAAAAGTTACTGCAGACATGGTTAGTCAGGACGTGGACATTAGAGCAGGCCCTAGTCCAATATGATGGGTGTCCTTAGAAGGAGGGGACTTGGGACACAGATGCATTCTCACAGGGATGCTGCTTCTACAAGCCAAGACAGGCAAAGCCCTAGAAGCCAGGAGAGGGGCCTGGAACACCTCCCCTACTCAGAGCCTGCCCTGCTGACACCTGGGCCTTGGACTTCCACCCTCCAGGACCGTGAGACACTAACTCCTACTATCAAAGTCACCACTTGGTGGTACTCGGCTCTGGCAGCCTTAGCTAGGAGCCAGTGTTGCGGTCTGTTTTCTCGTTTGTTTTCTGTCAGACGTTCCCTTCAGAGGAAGGTTTAAGTGGCAGACAGGAGGGGCCCACACCTTCACAGCGGGGGACGGTGGAGCTCCAGACGACATTCCCATCCTGCAGGACACAGGTGATGGACTCCGAGCCCTGGGTTTTGACAAAGCCGTCATCACAGTGGAAGGAGACCGAGCTCCCCAGCAGGAACCTGTCACCAAAGCGCCGTCCATTTACGGGGATGCCAGGGTCATGGCACTCGTTTTGACCAAATGCTGAAAAGAGAAAAAAAACATCAGAGTAAAAAAAAAAAAAAAAACATGAATATTAATCATGGGTATTAAAAAAGAAAGCAGAACCACTTATAAAGCAGTTTTAGTTATTTTTCAGAGATAGATAAATACATTCAGTAAATAGAATATTGATACCTAGAGAGACAGAGGAGAGAGATGGGTAGATAGACCTCATTATCATCCACACAGCATCCCCAAGTTGGAAGCTACTTTCTTACTAAGAAAAATGGAGAAGAGATACATAGTTTACAGAAAAGGATTTTGGTTCTGGCACATCTAGGTTAGCATCCCGGCTCTTTGCTTACTGGTCCCTGGGAAGATCAGTCCGGTCATCCGAGCCTTTTTGAGGTTCATTTGCTAAGTTGTGTCTGACTCTCTGCAACCCCATAGACTGCAGCCCTTCAGACGCCTCCATCTTCCACTGTCTCCCGGAGTTTGCTCAAATTCATGCCCACTGAGTTGGTGATGCTATCTAATCATCTCAGCCTCCACCGCCCCCTTATCCTTTTGCCTTCTCCTTTTGTTTCCCGCCAATCTCCTCTATCCATGGAGTTTTCTAGGCACAGAATTCTGGAGTGGGCTGCTGCTTTCTTCTCCAAGGGATTTTCTCAACCCAGGGATTGAACTCGTGTCTCCTGTGACTCCTGCATTGCAGGAAGATTCTTTACTGCTGAGTCATCAGGGAAGCCCCTGTCTGAGTTTAGTTATCTTTATTTACAGAATGAGGAAGATGAAGCTTATATTCCAGAGCTGCTGCAATGTTAAATGAAGCAATTTCTGTCAAATCCTAAGCAGATCACCTTAGAGAAGTAGGCAGTCAGTACATTTTAGCTTATAGCTCCTATTTAACATTATTATCTTACTTTATTCCCTCAACAGTGCAATTTAAGCAGATTGTCTTAAATATAAGCTATGATCAAATGAGGAGTCTGAATCAAAGAAAAGTTAGCTGTTTATCAAAATTCACTAAGTACATACGAGTTGTTGTTTAGTTGCTCAGTTGTGTCCAACTCTGCAACCATTGGACTGTAGCCTACCAGGCTACTCTGTCCATGGGATTTTCCATGCAAGAATATTGGAGTTTGTAGCCATTCCCTTCTCCAGGGAATCTTCCCAACCCAGGAATCAAAATTGGGTCTCCTGCATTGCAGGCAGATTCTTTACTACTGTCACCTGGGAAGACCAAGTCCATACATTTAGCAGGTGTTATAATCCATGACTCCTGACTCCAAATACCTCAATGCTTTTCAATTACTCTATTCTATTGCATGGAGGATACAAGGATGGATGGATGGATGGATGGATGGATGGATGGATGGAAGGAAGGAAAATCAGAGAGAGATAAGTCATGTGAGCAACCAGTCCTCACTATAGGGGTGACCAAGACACCACAACAGAGTGGGGTATTTTTTTAGGTTCTCAGGATAATGTTATATAATTTTGAGAATTGTGACTATAAAACCCTGGAGTAACACCCTTGCCATTGAACTTCGCTCACAGGAGAGCCAGTGGAGACCACGGACGTGGGGTGGGTGCGGATGCACTTACTGGTGTAGGTGATGTTGAAGCCCCGGCCGGTGGTGGAGTGGTCCGACTGGAACTCCAGGCGGACGATGTGCCCACTGCTGGCCAGCTGGGACGGCACCTCATTGCCTGAGAATGTGCCCAGCACAGTTATGTCTGAAATCCCATCATCTTTGACAGCAAGGAAGTCAAACTGAGGCTCCACATCAAAGTCATTAAAGATGAGGTGAATTCTGCTGCCCGGCTCAGAGATGATCAGCCAGACACAGTTCATGTTGTTACCATACTCTTCCGGGTAATTCGGTGAGAGGATAATTCCTGATGATGCCGTGAAGTTGAAGAAACAGGAAACTGAAGACACACAGATAATAATAGTTTCAAACAGTTTTGTCCACATTCAAAGATATGCCAGTGTGCTAAGGACCTGGGAAGGAAGTCTATACCAGCAGTTAACTAGGATGGTTCAACTTTTCTTTTTTTTAATTTTGAGAGTACTTACTGAATTTGTTACAATCCAGCTTCTGTTTTATGTTTGTTTGACCTCAACATAAATGCGAATCTCAGTTCTCTGACCGGGAATTGTACCAGGTTGTGAACAGATTAAGTTCAACATACAGAACAACCACAGCCTATACATAATCAAGTGTACGCTTGATTCAAAAATAACCCTATCAAGTTGACCGAAACTTGTGGCAAATATTAAGATTTCTTGTTAGAACTTTCTGCCTTCAGAAGAGCAAATATTAATATGAAAAATTATGCCTGTTTCATAAGGATAATTTCCAGAAAACAAGGTTGATTCTAATCAGTTTCCTATTTTTCATTTTAAATTTTGCATGTGCCTTAAAGCACATTTTTTGAAATTACTTTTTAAGTCATTTAGAGAGTAACAATGATTAAAGAACAACTTGGAAAATCAGACCATATCCTGGTGGATAATATAAAAGTCTCTTGGAATATTTACTTAATGTATACTGAGAAATCAGTAATACATATGTTTTGTGTATGTCCATATACATATTCTTTGGGAGGGAGCATCTATTGGACTTATTTCTAGGGTGTGGATTTGCTTATTATTTTACATTATTTCCTATATGTTTCCAGGTTATTGCTATACTTAATTATAAAAAAATCTGTCTTTCAATCTGTTATGCAGTCCTTCTTTTCTATTTCTTTTCTACTTGGGGACCTGGAGACCATAATACAGAGTGACATAAGTCAGAAAGAGAAAAACAAATACTGTACAGTAACACTTACATGTGGAATCTGAAAACACTTGGTATAGATAATCTTACTGACAAAGCAGAACAGAGACGCAGGCGTAGAGAACAAGCATATGGACCCGAAAGGGGGAAGAGGGAGTTGATGAACTGGGAGACTGGGGTTGACATATGTACCCTACTGACACTATACATAAAATAAACAACTAATAAGAACCTTAACAATATAAACTACAAACTAGACAAAAAATAGGAGGAAGCAGGCAAGTCCTCCACTGAAATGTGAAGTGGCATCACTTGAAGCTCACAATTGTGTTTTAAGTGTCACAGGACATGGTGTGTTCTGTTATTCTCTGCAACCCTGTGGACTGCAGCCCGCCAGATTCCTCTGTCCATGGGATGCTCCAGGCAGGAATACTGGAGTAAGTTGCCATTCCCTTCTCCAGGGATCTTCCCAACCCACAGATGAAACCTGCATCTCTTACATCTCCTGCATTGGCAGGGGGATTCTTTACCATTCAGTCACTTGGGAAGTCCCATGCAGTACTGATACTATGTATACAATAGATAACCAATCAGAACCTACTTAGGGAAGCCGTCACAGGACATTATTAGATTGCAAAGACCCCAGACCCTATCGAGGATGCTCACAGAGCTGGCATCAGCTCCTCTGGGTGGAAGTGATGCTCTGTGGGCCTTGCTCGTGGAAAGCTCTCATCGACAGCATATCTGTCTGGTAGTAAGAACATCACTGACTGGCTTTAAGTCAGTGGAGAAAGAAGAGCTGCGTTTGAGGAGCCCTGAGTGCTTCTGGTCAAAGCTGTGCCCCGGGGGGTGCAGGCAGCTGCCTTCCCTCAGGGCACACCCTGCTCCTCTCCCCTCTGGGGCAGCTTGGAACAGACCCCCGCCAGGAGAGTACTCACATACACAGCTGGGCTTGTTGCCAGACCACTGGTTGTTCTGCTGACACGTGATGACTCTCTCCCCCACCAGCTCGAAGGCCGCCTGGCACTCGAACGTGAGTGTGTCTCCGTGGAGAAAGCTGCTGCCGGTCCGCTTACCGTAAGCCGGGATGCCTGGATCCCCGCACCCCCCTTTCTCAATTTCTGAAAGGAGGAGAGATGAGTGGACCATTGAGAAAACACGATGAACGTTTTCAACAGTTTAGAAAGTGAACAATGGTTGACTTTTGCATTGTTTCCATAAACAGTTTCAATTCATCTAATATTTATTTAGCAGAAGCCAGAAAAAATATATACTTCAAATTTTGGAGAAAACTGTTTAACTTTTCTTTCAAAGGAAACACAAAGCTATACAGATGTGTTAACCATGCAAATGTTACAATTAATAGATGTTTCTTCCTGGTCTACACCCTTCCTGCATGCTATCCACAACTGCTGCCATTAAAATGTAAACATCAATTTTGTTTTAATTGATGTGTTTTTTAATGTAAACCACACAAGTAAGAAGGTTCATTCTCTACTGAATATTTAAATCAATATATCCATTTGAATATTCCTTCCTTTAAATTGGTGTTAAAACTCATTTAGGAAACAAAATGAATATATTCATGGTCTTCAGATGAAAAGAAAATATGTGGAATCAAGGCTCTTTTCATTAGCACATGATTGTAATGACATGTGGATACAAATGCACCAAATTATACACACATTTCAACTTTGCTCTGTCACAAATGTTAATGATACAGGATGTATTAACTGAAATATGGTTATTCATTGATTCATACAAAAATATTTCTTGAGGGCCAATAATGCATCAGGTTCTGTTCTAGGTAATGAGGTTAGTGGACAAACAAGACACAGGGCTGACATTACATAGAGGGAACCAGTAACAATTTGTGAGATAATGAAGGAGACACAGGCCAGGGTGCCGGGACCTGCAGGAGGATGCTGGGGAAGGGCTGTTCTGCAGAGGAAGGGAGGGATTGGCCAGAGCTGCCTAGGAGGTTTCCACGGGAAGAAGATTTTGCAGGGTTTTCAGAAGATACACAACGTGATCCGCGTACAAGTTCAGAAGACCCTCCTCTGGGCTGGGAGTGGAGGCAGGAGAAGGGTGAGTTTCCATAACTCAGGGAGGTTTATCTGTGCTTGGCTCACAGATGCATCTCTGGGTCCATGGTCCTTCCTGAATTCGTCATGTGTTTGCACTTTGTCGTCTTGCTGTGAGCAACAGCAAATTCAGATGTAGCAACATAAATGCTTTGTGATGAGGTCTCAGTGTCTGGAAAGTCTGTGGAAGTGACTCAGCTGAATTTCTGGGTGGTTTTCAGGTATATTCCTGCCTTGTGGGGAACCTGTCCAAGCTCAGAGATTGATCCAAAGATGGCTTATTCTCCTCCAGAGGAGAAACTCTACTTTCAAGTGTTCAGGAGTATCAGAGAGGTGATATCAGCTGGTAATATAATGATGGTGAAACTTCAACATGTAGGATATCAGCCCATCTGTTTCTGAAGCAAATTAGCACAAGAACACAAAACCAAACCAAACCAGGTACTTTGTGCAAACAAGTTCCTCACACTCCTGATGGCTCAGGCCATCAGATTAAAAAGATGGTCTAACTAGCATCTGTTAAATGGGAGCTCCAAAATCACTGCAGATGGTGATTGCAGCAATGAAATGAAAAGACGCTTACTCCTTAGAAGGAAGATTATGACCAACCTAGACAGCATATTAAAGAGCAGAGACATTACTTTGCCAACAAAGGTCCGTCTAGTCAAGGCTATGATTTTTCCAGTGGTCATGTATGGATGTGAGGGTTGGACTAGAAAGAAAGCTGAGTGCCAAAGAATTGATGCTTTTGAACTATGGTGTTGGAGAAGACTCTTGAGAGTCCCTTGGATTGCAAGGAGGTCCAACCAGTCCATCCTAAAGGAGACAGTCCTGGGTGTTCATTGGAAGGACTGATGCTGAAGCTGAAACTCCAATACATTGGCCACCTCATGCGAAGAGCTGACTCATTTGAAAAGACCCTGATGCTGGGAAACATTGGGGGCAGGAGGAGAAGGGGATGACAGAGGATGAGATGGCTGGATGGCATCACCAAGTCGATGGACATGGGTTTGGGTAAACTCCGGGAGTTGGTGATGGACAGGGAGGCCTGGCATGCTGCGGTTCATGGGGTTGCAAAGAGTTGGACACAAATGAGCGACTGAACTGAAATGGGAGCTAAAATATTCTTGGATGCAATGCAGGCCAAGAAAGCCTTGGAGGACACTCTTCCTTAAGGGCCAGCCTTGGAGTACAAGTGGATGAACCTGAGCTGAACAGAGGCAGGAATGGATCTACTTGAATTTAACACTTGGATTACCTTGAACCAAATTTCTTTGACTGAAGGCAATTTGGACTGGTGGTTTATAATAGAAAGAACTTATTTTTTTTAATTTATTCATTTTTCACTGAAAGATAATTGCTTTATAGTATTGAGTTGGTTTCTACCAAACATCAACATAGATTTGATGTTGAATCAGCCATAAATTTATCTATGTCCCCTCCCCTCCCTCTGCCCTCCCTCCCCATCCCACCCTTCTAGGTTGTTACAGAGTCCCAGTTTGAGTTCACTGAGTAACACAGCAAATTCCCGTTGGGTGTCTATCTTACCTATGGTAATGTGGTTTTCCATGTTACTCTCTCCACACATCCCACCTTCTCCTCCCCTCCTCCCCCAAGCCAAGTCCACAAGTCTGTTCTCTATGCCTATGTCTCCACTGCTACTCTGCAAATAGGTTCATCAGTACCATTTTTCTAGATTTCACATATATCCATTCGTGTACAGTATTTGTTTTTCTCTTTCTGACCTGCTTCCCTCTGTATAATAGGCTCTAGGTTCATCCACCTCATTAGGACTGATGCAAATGACTCCAATTCCTTTTTACGACTAAGTAATATTCCATTGTATATATTCCACCGCTTCTTTATCCATTCATCTGTTGATGGATTTCTAGGTTGCTTCCATGTCCTAGCTGCTGTAAACAGAGCTGCAATGAACATCTGTGTCTTTTTCAATTTTGGTTTCCTCAGGGTATTCACATAGTAGTGGGATTGCTGGGTCATATGGCAGTTTTATTCCTATCTTTTTTTAAAGGAATATCCATAGTGTTCTTCATAATAGCTGTGCTAATTTACATTTCTACCAACAGTGCAAGAGTGTTCCCTTTTATCCACACCCTCTCCAGCATTTATTGTTTGTAGATTTTTTGATGATGGCCATTTTGACCAGTGTAAGGTGATATTTCATTGTAGTTTTGATTTGGAGTTCTCTAATAATGAAGCCATGTTGAGCATCTTTTCATGTGTTTATTAGTCATCTGTATGTCTTCTTTGGAGAAATGTCTGTTTAGGTCATTTTCCTGCTTTTTGATTGGGTTGTTTGTTTTTCTGAATTGATTTGTAAATAGATGGAGAGATATTCTATGTTTCTGGGTTGGAAGAATCAATTTTGTGAAAATAACTATTCTACTAAATCTATAGATTTAGTAATCTATAGATTCAGTGCAATCCCTATCAAATTACCAATGACATTTTTCACAGAACTAGAACAAAAACTCTCACAATTCATATGGAAACACAAAAGATCTCAAATAGCCAAAGCACTCTTGTGAAAGAAGAATGGATCTGGAAATCATGACTTCAGACTATACTACACAGTTATAGTTATCAAGGCAGTATGACACTGGTGCGCACACACACACACACACACACACACACACACACAACACAGAAATATAGACCAATGGAACAAGATTGAAAGCCCAGGGATAAACCCACACATATACGGATACCTTATTTTTGACAAAGGAGGTAAGAATATACAATGGGGCAAAGATAGTCTCTTCAATATGTGCTGCTGGGAAAACTGGACAGCTCCATGTAAAAGAATGAAATTAGCACATTTCCTAACACCATACACAAAGATAAACTCACATTTGGATTAAAGATTTAAATGTAAGACCAGAAACTATAAAACTCTTAGAGGAAAACATAAGCAGAACACTCAATGACATAAATCAAAGCAAGATCCTCTATGACTCACCTCCTAGAGTAACGGAAATAGATAAGTGGAATCTAATTAAATTTAAAAGTTTTTGCACAGCAAAGGAAACTATAAACAAGGAGAAAGACAGCCCTCAGAATGGGGAAAAATAATAGCAAATGAAACAACTGACAAAGGATTAATTTCCAAAATATGCAAGCAGCTGATACAAGAGCTTCCATTTGATGTGACCTGTCAGTGGAATAGGGTTCAGAAGCCCAGGGTCCTGGCCAAGGACACAGCTCTGAGGTCAGGAATCAAAACAGCAGACTTGGTTTGGAAATTCCTGGGCTAAGCTGGGCCACCTGATGCAATTTAGTCTTGCAAAGTCTCCATTTTCACTTCCTCCGTTTACTACTTTCTACCTCACAGGGCAGCTGTGAGAGTTAAACTATATAATTCACACAAGTCCTGGCATATAGGGCCCATAATATTAGCTATCACTAGGGTTATTAGCAAACCTTAGACTTCTAGATGCTTCTTTTTGCCTCTGTGATGCTAAAGTTCATAACTTTTTATAGTGAAATGAATTAATGGCATTTCTACACTAACTGAGTCTGAGAACTTAGAGCACATGGAAATAAGCTGGTTGTAGCCACACTGTGTGGAAGGTCTCTCTGCTTCCCATGCTGAGGGTTTAGAATGTCTAGTGGCCCTTCATCTCCACCAAAGATACTGGTATTCCCTGATCCAGACATAAGGCCAGGGCTGGCCCAGAGCAGAACCTGGGTCTGGTGAGTCCTTTTTTAAGAGTTTGGCAGGGACTTGTGATGCCAAGTCCAGGGACTAGTGTTGGACTAGTAACATCCACTATCAGTAAGTCTGCATGGAAGAGCTAGACCCACTCATCAGCCACAGAATATGAAGCTTCACTTGGGGAGCATATTTGGGCATTTTGCATTCTTGACCCCTGCATACTGTATCACTTGAGCCCCAAGTAACTGTGATAGAATCTACACATATTCAGAAATTTCCCTTGGAGGTCAAACTGCCTTCACTTGAGAGTCTGCATCTACTTCACATATTGTCTGAACCAGTAAAAACAAGTAAGGGAAGA